TGTGTGTGTGTGTGTGTGTGTGTGTGTGTGTGTGTGTGTGTGTGTGTCTGTGTTGGTATGTGCGTCCCTGCAGGTAAACGTCCTAGTGATGGGAACACTGAAGAGTTTTGGCATCTTCTTTGTGGCATTCCAAGATGAGTTTGGAGCCTCATCAGAAAGCATCAGCTGGATCGGTTCCATCATGTCCAGTCTGCGTCTCTCTGGAGGTTTGTGTCAGAATGAAGCCGTCTCCGTCTGCGTCCCCTTCACAGCCCTGCATTGAGTTTAAAGACTGAATATAAAAACAATTATATTTTACTGTTTGAAGCTACTTTTCCCCCACATATTTACACATAGAAAAACATTCTACGTCTTTGTGCTTCTTCTCCAGCACCCCTTGCCTCTGTGGCCTGTGCCAAGCTAGGAACCAGGGTGACCTCCATCACAGGGGCGTTCCTCGTTAGTGGTGGTTTCCTCCTCAGTATTTTCGCCAACAGTGTGGTGTTTCTCTATGTCAGCATGGGAGTGATAGTTGGTGAGTAGAAATTTGTGGTGCGCCAAAATGCCTCAATGAGTCCCAAACCTGCTGATGACTCTAAAACCACAAAGCCAACCCAACGTATCCTCTGCAGGAGGGACAACTCTTCGTGTCTATCTAGATTCATTATTTCTCTTGTCTGCCCACATTCCTGTTGAAGACACAGTGTCTGATAATGATAACCTTCCTTATTCTTCTTAGGACTTGGTTTTGCACTACTTTACCAATCCTTCTCAGTCGTCACAGCGCTATACTTCCGAAGGAGGTTAGCAACAGCCTATGCAATCGGGCGTTCTGGGATGGGTTTGACCTTTGCCCTTGCTCCGTTCACTCAGTTGCTCCTGGACAAGTATGCTTGGCAAGGTATGCAGGAAAAAAATCTGTTAATGACTGGTGCACACTGTATAATGTATGTATGTTTTCTGGTGTATTTCTTTTTTGTGTCAGTAGAAATAGAACATATCCAAGGTGACATTTTGGGTCCTGAGGTCTCTTTGTCCCCCACAGGTGCAATGCTGATTCTTGGCGGTCTCATGCTGAATCTGGTGGCCACTGGGATGCTTCTGCGACCAATCCATGTGAAGTTTCCTGTTTCAAACCCTACCTCTTCTCCTATTCAAAAGAGCCCTGCTGCATCCATTAAGAGCTCTTCAGAGAAGGAATACACTAAGAGCTGCTTGAATGGCTCCTCTCACTTATCCAATGGCATCTCCAAAGCAGATTCATTGCCATCCCCTCCTTCTCTTCCTCCTTCTCTTCCCCACGGGGACACTGAGAACCTGGGGGGCCAATGTACTCGGGGACCCCAGGACCACTCGGTGAACCCAGAACTGACCAGACTTGTCCTCAATGGTGTGAATGGACACGAGCCTCACCATGACTTGGGTCAGTGTAAACCCACATCTCCAGACATCTCATCGGAGCTCAATGGCAGCATGAATGGGTCCACCACTGTTGGATTTTCCTCGCATGCCAGCACTCCGAATGAGGTGACCATCACAAAAACCAAAGTACTGGATTTCTCCCTGCTAAAGGACCCTTTCTTTTGTATCTACACTTGGTCCTTGGTCTTTAGCCAGCTGGCCTACTTTATCCCCTATTTCCACCTGTCCGCTCGAGCCAGAACCCTGGGCATCAATGCCATGGACGCTTCCTTCATCATCTCTGTGGCAGGTGAGGCACCCATTGGTCAACATGTTCTACTATGTTCTTATCATCCAACTTAAAGGAATAGTTTGACATTTTGGGAAATAGAGCTTACTCTCTTTTTTTGACAAAAGTTGAGAAGATTGATACCAAACACTTGTCTGCAGAGTAAATATAGCTGCAGCCAGCTAGCATAGCTTAGCATAAAGACTTAAAACAGGAGGAAACAGCTAGCTTGGCTCGGTCCAAAGGTAACAAAATCCTCCAACCAGGAACTCTAAAGCTCATTGATTTAAATGTTGGATCTCATCAACGTCAAATCTTCAGTGAACACGTTATGGCTTGCGGAACCAAGCGGATTTCCTAAAACATAGAACTGTTTTACTTATTATGCAAATTATCTCATCATCAGATTTGATTGATTTTGACAATTAAACTATGATGATTGTTCCTATAAATTGAGTTTGAGATCAAGCACAACTTCACCTCTTACGTATAGAAGCATTGTCATACTTTTCTAAGATGTACTTTAATTGTTTTAAAGTTGAAACTGGTGGATTTTATCAATTAAACTATTCTCATCACAAAATGTGTTGCAGAAATTTTCCTCGTCTGGGTTAAACGCCAGTCTGCATTGACTGTGTCTGAAATATGGATGCTCTTTAGAAATCTTACAGACTCCTGATTGAATAGACAGTGGATTGCTGCCATTTGTCTTTGAATGTGGCTTCCAGCAGGGATTTCACAGTGACTTTGAAAAGGGAGATCCAGGTTTCTTTAGGACTGGGTTTTAGGAAGCGATGCAAAAACGTCCTCAGTCAACTTTTAGGCATTAATTATTTGTGAGCTCCTCAGACTCTGGAGTCTTATGTAATGGATGTGCTTACATAAAAGCTGAACTTTGGTCCACTGGCCAGGGTGGGTGGGTTCAGCAGTATGCCATTGATGAGGCCACTCTATTATTTACAGAAAGCAGCATTAACATGTTGACCACTGCCCACATGTGCATGTAATTCTTGACGATTGCTTCGTCAGGCTTTGTGAATAATTGAAATACTCCAGACGGTGTCGTGCGTTTACGAGTTAGAGGCCTCTGTTTTGTAATCTATCCATTAGTAATCAGTCCCCAACTAACAGAGATTGTATAACATTATAATAATCTTTTAGGGCTTTGTCTTGGTTTCATTCTGCAGCTGGAAAATGACAGGAAAGGGGGAGAAAGAGGGGTTGACAAGTCTCTCTACAGGGTGAGCTAAAGGCCACTCCAGATAGTAATACATTTGATGTAAAGGTGCTTTTTAGTTAAGAATAATTACAGTTAAATGGTCACATCAATTATCACTTCTTTAGTGCTGTAAAAAAGGGAGATGATGTGAGGGACGCTATTGTCATAGTAACACAAAAAGTTCATAAATGTGTGAAATTAAATTAAATTGTTTGAATTATGCATCAATGCCTCGGCTTTTGGGGTAAGTGGTTTAAGTTACCTAAAGGACTGTTTCGGTGTCCCAAAAAGCAAAGTAATTGTAATGTACGGTATGCAGATGGCCTGTTAATATGCAGTGTTTTCTTTTGTCAACATTGGTGCAGCTGGATATAACCACTGCTGGAGGATTAAGCCAAAACTAAGATGGGTGTCAAATAACACTGCTGTATAAAATTAGACGGGATTAACTAAAATTAACTGACAAATAGGCTTTATGGGCGCTAAACCAGTCTCTACATTGTTTCTATGGCAAAAACCAGAGGACATAGAGAGTTCCCTGATGGTCTACTCTATGGGGTCACTTCTGAGCTTCACGCCAGCGATCAGTGCCGGCGAGCAGCAAGACTGACCGATTCTTTTGATTCAGACACGTTTGTTCAGTCACATTCTCTGGCCATGTGCACCGAAAGAGAGACAGAGCTAGAGAGACGGGGTGCCACCCACACCACAAAGCCACCATCCCAGTGTCCCGCTGTCCCTCTTTCCCCAAACTAGCGCTTGTCATAGAAGCCCATTGACTCAGCTGAGGGAGGGAGGCCACTGTCGTCCGGGTCAGTCTGTTCGTCAACCCTCAGCCACCAACACTGGAGCCAACTGGAGTTGCTAAGCAACACCTAACTGAGTAAAGTTGTTGGCGTGGTGACAAGAGGGGCTCCCAATTTAGTTTGAGTCCAGTCCTGAAGTGGCTTATACTTTGCAGAGGAGCACTGAGGCTGAATACGTAGAAAAGAGGAGGCAAGACAAGCCAGCTTCCACCTCAGAGAAGCTGGGAAAACCAACACGTCTTGTATAACCGCTTTGCTTTAATCTATAGTGACAAAATATCCCTCCTCGAAGCAAAGGGAATGGCACCTCTCCATGCCTTGCAACCTCCCCCTCCCTCGTCGGTTAACGCCCAGAAGCATGCATAGAGTACCTTCTCTACCTGTCAGCTCTACGGCGAGAACTAAAATTGTCCCTGATGCGGTTGGCTTAAGGTGCTACTTGGAGAGGACAAATTAAAACTGCAGTGGACTGAGTTTGAACAAGAACAGCTGCAGGCCTGAACCAATCTGCTGAGGCTAAAACACACAAACAAACTCACAACTTGTCTGTGTGCAAGCAGGGACACCCCGGGACACTGTCTTGGGTCACTAGAGGAGGACACATAAACACAGCACAGCTGCCTCATGTCATCTTTCTAACCTCGGGGGAGAGAAATGCTCTAGAGTTATGTAAGGAAAGTGTTCACTGACGAGGCATTTCATTTTTCATTCATGTGAACTTCAGTCAAAGCCTTGAAGAGTGAAGATGTAGCTGATCATCATTAATTAATTACATCAACTTGTTGATTAATTTAACCTTTATTAACAATAAAGATAAATCTGCATACTGTACGCAAACTCATCCATATTCAGCTGAACTTTCATCTGTTTCAACCTGTCAGTGGCTGCACCCTGTGCAGTTGTGGTGCAGAGGCTGAGCAAAGAATGGGTAACTGTGATCTGCATAGAACCAGTTTGTTTCATTGATCAATGGCTCAACGCCGCCTGCTTGTAGCTATTCCTGCAGCGGTCAATACACCACTGCAGTTTCCGCACTGCCTATCGCTTTCCAGTTGACCTCAGCAGAGAACAGCACATATCTGCCCAGTCATCATACCCGAGTGGAGCAAACAATCAATCAGATGCTACGGAGTGCATAATGAGTAGTTTGCCTGGGTGTTGCAAGTGTAATACAGATGTTAACAAAGGATATGTTGCCACCCACTGCTTGTGGAAACATTCTCGTTTCAGAGGAAAGGAACAACCGGGACTCCAAATAGATTTGTCTAGATGTCCCGTTTGTTATTCATGCAGACCTGTGTAGTTTAGCTGCAGCGCGTCATTCTTCCCTCATATTCTGTGTCTGCCTCACACACACACACACACACACGTGCACACACGCGCGCACACACACACACACACACACACAGACACACACACCTCCTCCTCCCAGCTTTGTTTGTAGACATTAACTGTATGATTTTAAAGGAATACTCACAAGTCCCTGCATCTAACATTTGGTAGATGCCCGCATTAACCTAGCTGCACCTGAACATTTTAGCATTTGGGTGAACTGACTGCTTTATGCATCTATCTTTTAAAAAAGCCTCTGAACATTTGCGTTGCAGTAGTAGATTAGTCCTAGTGCTTAATAATCAGTCTGCTTCATTCAGTTAATCTCTCTGGTCCTGGACATCTGTGGCTGTAGATTGGATCTGTTTTCTAAATGTTTAATGTGAAGCTTTGTGAGAAGACATTTTTGTCTAAAAGTGAATAGAGCAGTGATGCTCTGTTTTTTTGGATTCCATCACAAACTCCATTACCAAAGAGCAGGTTATACCTGCATATTTTATTGTATACTTTCCCCAGTCTGCCTCTCTTTTCTCACTGCTTCCTTAAAGAAACAGTGAGGAATATCTTACTTTACTTTACTTAACCAGGATAATCAGTACATACTTTTAAAAAGTAACAATAAGACAATCAAAGCCTAAGGAAAAAAAGGGAAGCTGACAGTTCATACTGAAGTCTCCTTTTCACTTATTTGTTACCCTTTTGCTCTCACCCCCAAGACTTACAGTTTTACTTTGACATTTCTAAGCCTCCCGTTTTGCCTTCGTTGCAGGTATCACAGAGACCATCGCCCAGCTGGCTTCGGGCTGGGTGACAGACAAGAACCTGTTCCATAAATACCATTACCACAAGGCCTACCTGATCCTCTGTGGCCTGGTCAACCTGCTCTCCCCACTGGCAACCTCTTACATCCTGCTGATGTTTTACGCTATCTTCTTTGCCATCTTCTGTGGTGGATACATGGCTCTGCTGCTGCCCGTTCTAGTAAGGAGACCACCCTATTTGAACACGCATGCTATGCATTTGTACTCTTGATGCTTTACTTCACAGGTCTCGACATATTTTATATGTAATTAACTTGGAAGAATTTAAATATGGGCTTACAGAATATCAATGGATGGATAATGAATAAACAAGGGCTCGGTTTTAAAGGCCAAGCACAACGATGGGGGTAAAATGGACGTTCTTGGGCGTCTCTAAGTGCAGAAGCTGGGTGATGTGGTAAATAGATCAGAGGGTGTGGTGATTAATAAATAAACTCAGCCAGTCACCTCACTTGTCTCCTCACTCTGAAACCGCTGTGCCAGTCACAGAGATGCATGACGACAATGGTTCAACAAATGGAAAGAGGCTTGAAGAGTTATTGAAAGTTTTGATTGAAATTTTTAGCATTACTGTGTTGTCACTGCACATTTACTTCAAGTATTGTGTTTGCCGTTGTTGATCAAATCGAACCATTGGCAGGAGATTGACATAGTGGCAGAAACAGATGTGGCTCTGAGGCGTCTATTCTCGCTCAATATCATTTGACTTTTCACAGAATCCCGCCAGCGTCAGTCTCACCATAGTGTGTAGTTAATTTACCAAGCAAGACCCCTACAGTAATCACACACTCTAATCTGTTTGAATCACAATAACTGTATTTGTGTGTTGAGACTTTTGCATTATCAATTGTGGCTTCATTACATCATTTAGTCACACACTGAGATAGAAAAGTATCCTTGACGCAGACTGTTTCCAACTGCCTTAATGGGTGCAACAACATATTAAGAGTATCCAGTGTGAATTGACATCTGGTTGGATCGCTGCTTCATCGTTAAGCTGCTGTCATCTCGTGTGCCAGAACGAGAAGCTTCCAAATGCTATGATTGTATGCATGTTTTAGACAATTTATTACAAGTCAAATGTAGACTCCTACCGTTTCCCCAAGCTTACCATACTTTTTAGTTTTTATATTGTTTGTCCTCTTCTGTAGCCAGGTATTTGTTTTCATCCTTATCATGCAGTATCAACTTGCAGATATATTTGACAGGTCTATATGTTGACTAGCATGTTGAATAGTTGTACCAGGAAGCTCAAACCATTCATCCATTTAAGATTGTTGTATTCTTTGGAAAATGCCTGTTACAATATGGTAGTAATATGAAGGAAATGTGATTTGCATAGTGTTGAAATGCATGCAAAACACTTCTTCTTCTTTCAATTTTAAAAAGCCATTAAGTAAGAATATGACCCATTAAGAACCGTGGGTTGAATTTGTTGTTCTGCTCTGCAGGTTGATCTCGTGGGGGCAGAGAAACTCAACAACTCCATGGGCTTCTCCATGTTCTTTGTCGGCCTAGGTTGCCTGACAGGACCTCCTTTGGCAGGTGAGTGGATCACGTCATGGAAAACCTTTAGTCAGACATGTGGTAACCCACCTTTCTACACTTTTAACGACCCCATACTGCATGTGTAGCCATGACGTTACTGTCCTGAAGTGATCTGTTACACAGAGGGCAAGGTGCGTGTGCGTGTGCGTGTGCGCGTGTGCGTGTGCGCGTGCGCGCGCGCGTGTGTGTGTGTGTGGATAAGTCTCTCATGAACATATATTTTTTTGGAAGGTGTTGAGGCACATATATCTATGGGGCCCTGAATTCCTTGCAGTGCCTCCAAGTGTGTGCCTGCCTGTCTGTGTGCATGCAGTCATCGAGAGTGAAAACTGAAACACACAGGAGAAAAACAGCCTATAGATAGTGCGGCCCTTAATGCCGACTGGGACTTTGGGGTCGCTTTGACAAAAATGCATACAGGGGTTACTGGGTCAAATGTCATCTTGCCTAGAAGGCTTTGAGTCACTCTGTTTAACTAATGGCAGACTGTCTTTGTTAGTCTTAGAGGGCCGTTTCTAATCTGAAATCAGTTTGTTGTTGGAGTGTGTTTCTTTTACAACAGGTTGTAGCACATTCATGAACTACGCCTTCTCTCGGTCAGCCCAAAAACATAATAAAAACTGTGTGTGCGAGTAAAACCAGTTTTCATCTTCAATACATAATGCTGAAACTTGCTTCGAGCTTGCACAACATATTCACCCACATTTTATCTGGAAAAAATAACTCTTCGTGCCCTTGGGTAATATTTGGCTCCAGTTAAACCGGGGGGTTCCCTTGAACCTATTGACATGGAGCCTGTAAACTAAGTTGGGCAGTCCCTTCAAAGGAGCATATGGATTTCGGGGTTGAAATGTGACTAATGACCCCGTTTAGGGTTGTATGGAAATAGCATGTGGCTCTGTTTACCATCCCTGCTGTTCAAGTAAGAAACGTACATGAGGTAAACTATAGTCCTTGCATGTGACAACATTGTTGTCATGTCCAGTTCTTCCGGATTGACAGCTGTTCATTAAACCTGCTGATTATCTGGTCCGGTGCTACTTTTCTGTCAAGTGAAAGGTCAACGTGGCTCATGTAAAGAAGACAAATACAACCACAGAAACTTACGAGTCACCTGCAGTGTAGTTTACACCCAAGTCACACGTGCTAGAAATGTGAGCTCTCACCATGCTGTAATCTAGACGTATGAAGAATGTAAAACTGTGTGTCAAATTAGAAACATAAAGGGTTCACTTTTTAAAAAAAATGTAATATCCATTTTGGAAAGAAATACTACCGGAAATGAATTGTACAACATTTGACAAACATATGTGTCCTCAAGTTATGTGTCTTTGTAATTTTTGGTACTATGACGTTTTTTATGACATTTATTGTGTCTTTCTAATTAAATTTTAAATGACTTTTTTAAGGTATTTCATACGATACATATTTTTTTGATGTACCACACTATAACATTTCTATTATTTTCATTTATTATGACAATCTTTTTTTCCTTTCTTTTGTCCCTTTTGTCCCATAAAATATCACTTCAAGTGTTTATTAAAGGGACCCTCTAGAGTCGAGTTTCACTTTGTTTAGCGCCTTCTAAACTGCCCTTACCCCACATGTATTGTATTATTATTCCATTACAAACTCAGTTGCAAATCTGACTTGCATACAAAGAAAATTGCACTGGCTCCTAAAGAAATGTACAAATCTTTATTGATAATTGCTCAAAATGTCATTATAGGGTATTTCGAAAAAAATATTGTTCTAGTATTTATACACAAAAATGTAAGAAATACAACTATGGTTGTTTTATTTGCATGCAAAGGGATTTTATCCCAACTCATTTTGTGCCTTTTCCATTGAAAGTCCATGTGTGCCTGTGAATCAATATTGATTCCAAGTTTTAAAAATGTCTTTTGAAAAATAAGATACAGCATGAAATCAACACTTCAAACAGGCTTCCTCAGCTTTAATGAAGTTATGTTATATAAATGAAACGTGCTGTGTATTACTCAACAGATGGACAGGCTCTTAAAGTGTTCCTGTTTTTGTGTTTTGCAGGCTTCCTGTACGACTACACTCAGACTTACGACTGCTCTTTCTACCTGGCCGGGCTCTGCTATCTGCTCTCCTCTCTCTCTCTGTTCCTGGAGCCGCTGGCTCAGCGCTGGAAGAACAGCAACGAAGTGACCCGGACCAAGAGAGCAGAAAGCAGCTGTAAGACCAACGGCTGCTTCACCCCCGACCACCTGCAGAACGGCGCTGTGTAGGAATGAATCCCAGGGAAGGACTTCGATCTTGAACCAGCATGCTCACAACTTGCCATGGGCCTGCATACCTTGGACCTTGGACTCCAGCTTAAAGTTGTGACCAAGTGACCCTTCATTTCAGCAGGAGCGAATCATGGGCCGAGGAAACCACAGTAACATTTCTAAGAACATGCAGTTCTCGGGACGATGGCGAATAGATGAATATGTTGAACTTTTAAAGAGCCAAACTTTTAGCGTTCTGCTAAATATTTTACTTCCGATTCTTGTTCCTATCAGACGCACATGCATCCAAACTGAGACATACATCATCCAGCATATTTTAATACTAGCTGCTTTGCAACCTTAACTTGTTAAAACACAATCTAAATCTGTTTTCCAATGCAACAACAAAACTGCATTCACTTTGCGCCATCTTTTTATTGCTGGAATCTAAGCTATGCCGTTGAGCTTGAATGTGTGACGGCATTAATGGAAGCACATATCAATGAAGCAATACTTCTCACTCGATTTCTGAGGAAGCTTTTACCTGTGTCTGTAAACCTGTACTCACTGGTATGCACTTTGGGCCAAGTTGTGATTATGCTGCATGACATTTCCTCTGACCTTTTTAAATGCCAGATAGTTAAGATACTGAACAACCACTTAAAGTGAAAAGTTGGCGCCTTTCATGTGGATGTCCAATCAGGTAAATGTAGACAATTCAAGCAATGCATTCCTCAGTGACACCTATATTGAAAAAGGAAACTGATTTCTGCAGCTGACGGAGCCAGCTGTGCCTATATGTACCATTGCACGTGAACTTCTGACACCAGAGGGTCCCTGCCAGCCATATCCTCTTGCAGGTCAAATGTAGCCGCTGCCTTTCTTCGGCTGTATACTCTGGCTCGAATAATAGGGCTGGATATCAGAGTCAGCCAAGTTACTGCTAAATGTGTCCTCGTCCAAAACAGCCACTGCTCTCCTATTTTTGGAAATGTAGCTAGTTTGCAATACAAGTAAATAGAACAAGTAAGTTGTGTTTTTGAGCAGCATCTAGACTAGAGCATGCCTTGAAGCCATGTACGTCACTGAACGCAGAAAGAGCAACTCGTATTGCAGCTGCAAAATCAGCTGTCTGGGTCAATTTAGCACACACCGAGGAATGTATTGCTTCAAACGACTACACATTTACCATCAACACTGATTGGACTTCAAAAATAGAAGGTAGCAAAACCCCCCTCTAATTGCAGCCTGCCTCCATGACACAATGTGCAACCTGCTCTTCAAAGCCAAAAAGCAGCAACTACTTCATTCTAATAATCTCTTGCCCCCAACTGGATTGTTGTAGGCACAGGGGCAGATTGTGTGGCATGTGCTATAGCATTTAGAGATATTACCATATTCAAATCTTTATTGTTGATATGCTGGCTGCTTCAACTAGTTCAGCATACTTAGACATTTAAACTTCAAAATGTTGATCTCATTTCGGACACTTGTCCTTCTGTTCAGATGTTTTGATATCTTTGCCCCATATATTATAATGGACAGTGTTCAAAGTTTAAACATTTTATTTTTCTCTTTAACCCCTTCATACTCATTCATACCTTCATCTAACAGTGTTTGTGCTTAACATTAGTTCAGTTGTTTCATACCTCATGGTTTTTCTGCAAGTGCAGTTGATGTTAAAAACTTCTTTTCAGAACTTTTCAGGAATTGTGTGTGTGTGTGTGTGTGTGTGTTGCTAACACTTCAACTAACACCTCAGCCTCTAGCAACGCTTACAAGTCAACTAACAGTTCAGAGTATTTCAGGCCTAAACTTCAACTGACACTTCAACTTCTTTAATCACGTTCTACCACATTGTGACCTGTTTAGTGTTTGCAAGCGAGCACACCTTTCTTTGGAACTTATCAAACTCAGCGGTGACTTTTTTTTTAAATCCCACAGACTAGACACTGCCTCCTTCTTTTTCTGGTTCAGTAGTGACTTGTTTTAATAACTTGATGTTCACATTGTGTTTTACTTGGCAGCACCTGGAGACTACAAAACAATCACGCATAGCTCATTGTCTGTGAGCTGTTCTATGCAAGTCCACACGGAGAGAGATTTCTGTAATCGACAGCTCACTTGCACATCATTTTAACTGTTAACTGCAAAGATACCAAGCCCTGAAAGAAGAAGCCTGTTTGGTCGAGATTTAAGTATGATTCCTAAATATATTGATCACAGTTCGGACTGCTGATGAGCTCCGATGAATAGCAGGGTTTTCTGTGTCATTGTGTGTGATTAAGAGTCATTTTGTCCACCTTGAATGTCTGTTAATCGCTGACTCACTGTGTTATAAAGATGTTTTGCTGTTGTTTCATTTAAACTGGACTGGTAGTTGTCCAGCCTTTACAGTGCCTGCAGGCAGCCGATTAATGGCAATGCAATTTAAAATGATATTGTGTTTATGTTTGGGAGTATGATGGTTGTTCAATCTTTTTTCTAATGTAATAGAGGGTTTTTGTGTTTTCAGTGAATATTTTGTTTTTTCACCACCGTTTGCCTTACAAGGTACTGCATTGTATCTTTACTAACCTTCCTGTGATGTCAGCCAAAGACACATTAGAAACCTACCTACTACTTGAAGCTTATTATTAGTAAAAACATAGTTTGGACTGTCTATATGATTGAAACCACGATGATCACCCATCATTCTGTCATTTCAAAGTCTTAACCGAGGGCGGACCAGAATCCAGTGACGGACATGTTTTGTTACGCTGCCCTCTTGTGGTGAGGGAAAGCCTCTACACAAAGAATGCTGCCTCAATTAGTACCAAATTATTCCCCCTCATCTCACTTTCACAATACTGATCAAGGCTCTTTGTATTGTTTCAGTAACGACAGTCACGCACAAAAGCTCTTTTTGGCTCACGAGTTCCATTCACCACCAGTTTGCTTTTGTGATTGAGGGCCACTGAATATTTTGTACCATAATAAATCTCTTATGAAATGTATGATGCTTTAAGTAGATTTTGGTTTGGGATTATTTTACTTGTTAGTTATCTAGATATTTTAAAGAATTTTATGTTTGAGCAATATCTTGAAATCATTTTCATGTCCCTCTGGAGATGTCTTAAACACCACTGATGATGAACTGGGTTCTGTTTGATTTTATGTTTGTGTTGCAGCAAATGCATTTATGGGTAAAGCACTGTTTTGTCACTCTGGCTCTTGGACTTTTGAACTGATAGTTTAGAAAACATGCTTAATCAATCATAGATATCCGAGTTCTTCCCTCGAGTTCCCTTTTTAAGCCTTGTAACAGTGCGCAGTCAGCTGAAATAAACTGGCATGCGACTCAAGTCTGCTCTTGTTTGATTGGGATAATAAATGAACTGATACCACGCCAACGGCTATCTCTCTGGAGAAAAACACTCACAAGTTGCAACATCTTTTACATGTTTTATTGACACATTTTGGAGACAAACCGACGGCATTAAACAACATGATTTAGACTATATTATTACATTCATTTCCACCGTGGGTTTAAAAGTAGACCCAACAAATGCTTGTAATTATTTGACATGGTAAATAAAAGGGTTCAACATGTTATATCAATCAGATTGTTAATGTACTGTTAATCAAAGCAAACAGGTTACTTACAGTAGATGCCATCTAGTGTGTGGATTGGAGGCCTGGAAGCAAAGGGATGCATCAACTGCTCCACTGTACCTCTGTATAGGAAACATAACAACACGGTTTAATCTTGACAGCAGTTTACAGTGTAAAGGATTTGAAGATGATTGATTGTGCTGGTTATCGACATAATATTCAAGTGAGTGCTTTAAACCTCAATGAACATAACATAAATCAAGTGTGAAATCGTATTTGACACATTTGTGGCTTTTATAGATTTTTGATGTTATATGGTATAGATGTTTGTTTTGTAGTAAATCAGTTCTTTCTAACAGAATTACATGAGCAAATATGACATGAGATTTGTGGAACTGAGATATGAATGTTGAATGTTGAATGCCATATTGTACACCAGTATACAACACGATGAGATGTCTTACTTACACTAATACTACATTACAAAGGATTATAGGCAACAACTCTGATCTGGAAATCTGGTGACACATTGACCGGACTCAGAATAACTTAATTTCTCCAGATGTAGATCAATTCACAAAGTAGCCTTTAAAATTGGTGAAACTTGAGAATTCCTTGTATTAAGAGGGTGTAAGAGGGCCTATTTTGTTAACACGGTGTATGAAGACAAAAGCTAATACCTCATTTTTGAACAAAACAAACAAGCATCATATTGCTGCTCGATATATATTGATTTGTGAATATCTACTTGCATACCTCTCTGGTTCTGGTTTGACACACATACAGCTGCTCATACAGCCCCGATATACTGGGAGTAAAGAGAAAGCATACTGGCACTGAAACGCCAGCCGTCAGGTTAAACAGTCAAGTATTGGCCACAGATTGATTTTGTTTCACAAGCTACATGTTGATTGATAACTGATGGGATGTGATGGATTTAAAAGGTCATGGACTTTAAATCTCACATTCATATTCTCCATTGTGTTAACTGGAGGTTATTATTTGTGGCCTTCAGTCATTAGTACTCCGAATGCAAAAGACAATTTTCTGCTAAAAAACATTTTCTTATGTGACTACAGTTCCTTTAAATTACATTTGCCTAACTGATGTTAATACTTTAAGCTTGAACAAGAAATAATCTTTCTTTAAGCAGGATCAATAACATTATCTTTGATGAGGAGGGGCTTACTCACAACGTTAAACATGAAAGAATGTGAGTCTTAAAAGAGATGTGAACCATGTTAGATCTTCATGACCGTAGGTCCTGCAGCAGAGTGCCAAGATGAACATTTAAGTGAATGATAACGATCACAAGTTGGTTTTGCATCAACTGCTGTACCTTCACTGTAAAATGTCAACCTTTTACGTCAATTTGGCAATGAATGTAAACAAACATCTACATGACTTCAGTATATTATCAAGAGTATACATTCAGGTATTAAAATGTTCACTATCACAACTTATAATTCAGTTTTGTTGAGTTTCAAGCCGCTGATGGGAGCAGCACTATGTGCAGTGAGTTATTGTTGGCATTAAACGACCCTGTTATCTTGCACTATTTAATTTCTGCCATCAGTGTGAATAACCTCAGTAGTGTCTCTGGCTGAAGACTAGTGTGCCATTTTGCATGTGTTATTGTAAAAGCATGTGGTGCTGACACTTTATACTTACCACTGCTGCCTGAGCCACCGATACAGACCCGGCAGACAGCTCTCCCTCTCCTTACTCACCCTCATGTCGTTTCTATACAGCAGTCAAAGATACCAGCTCCGTCCGGGGTGTCTGCTGTGCATGAGTGTGATTTGTCAGGTAGACTGTGAGAGGAAAGCAGGAGCTCCATGGTCCTCAAGATGGCAATGTTTCTCTAGTGAAGTGAGGGGTCCTTCTCAGCACAGAACACAGCATTTGTTTTCACATTAGCATGACTAAAATGGATGGTAGGAGGAAATGGAAAACTTTCTTTCCTGTGCAAAGTGGCCGTAAACTTATAAAAAGGGCATTGGCAAAATAAACAGGTCTCCTAGAGGAATTTGGGAGAGGCTTTGGGGTCCGCAGTGTGGATTCCTTCCAGCAGTGTCAAAAAGGGTAAGCAATTTGGCCTGTTGGCATTTCATTTCCATGCTGCAGCAGACCTCAGATGACGATGGAATACAGCTTCAGCACCGCAATACACACTTCTTCACTCGTCTCCTCGGAGAGGGTTCAATCAGAGGAGAACACGAAGATGGGGGCAAACAATATTCCTAGCTGAGGTTTGGGGCCAATCCTCTTCCCTGATTAAGTCAAATCAAATCATAACCGGGCAAAGCATAATAAAGACAAATCACCCCAGTGGTTCAGCTTGGCCTCTGCAGTGAGACAGCTGGAACTGTAGACGCTATGGAAATTTCAGAGAGGTGTTGCCCACAATCTCCTGAGTGGAGTGTGTGTGACGGCCGGTGATGGGATTTCCTCAGCTCCTATTCAGGACCAGGAACAATGCACATGAAACCTTTAGAGTAGAGAGCAGGGAAGACAACAGGTTACTGGCTCCTGCCCTCGACTCCCAAACTGCACCGCTGTCTGCGTCTGCCACTGCTTCACACTGCAAACTGGCTGTAAACAACAGGCAGCGGAGAGGCTCCTCGATCCTGTTCAGGTGTTCACGTTGCCAACAGGAAACGTTGACGGTATAACGGAGACTCATGGGGGAGTGATTTATGACAGGCAACTTAGGAGCTCAGAACAGGCCTGTAAGCAAACAGCGATCCTCACGCGATACAGGCGTCTCTCTTCACTGGTGCTAAACAAACTGCAAATTGTCTCCCTCGTGTGCAGAAACAAAATTTCAAGTGACAACTCCGTCGAAACACAATAAGGTATGGCAGCGTGTTCCTTCAATTCACTTCCATCGAAGAAACATGTTTCCCTTCAAATGAACAATTTATTGATAATCGGTCACATTAAGTGCCCAAATGCACTTGCAGGTATGTGAACAGCTTCGCATGGGCTCTATGGATTTTCCTTTCCCATGACATCAAAGTGTACATTGCTCAATTTTTCCATTTAAAACAGAAGTCATCACAGGTGCAGTTGGGATACACAACTTAAAAGTTGCCTCATTAGCGAGGACTCACAAACACCTTCTCTGCAGAGAGTTTCGTCTCTGCGCTCGTCTCCTCGAGAGTCCAACGTTGAAGTGGGTGTGATGTTCACACAGAACAAGTTTGTTTTCAATACACATTAAACCATAATCAGCGGTTTTCTATTGCATGACAAACATCCAATGGCAAAACAAAATTCGATAAGTAGGCCTTGGGAACATGTTGGCAGGCATGAGTTGTATCGTGTCCAATTTATACCTCTAAAATATGATTCAAACATGAACATGAAAGTGTTTCTAAAACGTTAAAATGACTCAGACCTACTTACTGAACAAAGAGCAGGTTTTTGTCACTTTGTACCAACGTATTACTGATACTGAATATTATTATTATGATTTGAGGACCTACTGGCTTCAGAGCAATAAATGAAACAACACAAAACTCTAAGCTTTTTTTTTTTTTATCCATTACTACTGTAGTTTTTCATAGATCACATTACACAACCATTTCTAAGGTAGGGATGCACAAAATAAAATATGAAGTAAAAAATATGAAAAACATGTTAGTATTTGCTTTACTATGCTATGCGCGTCACGTTATGGGCTGTTCCCTGGGCGAAAATATCACATCTGTTAGTATTCAGCATTCCAAATAGAGTTGACGTAACAATTTAGTTTCACCAGTGGACACACACTGAGTTCATTGTCTATCTTGCAATTTGGTGTTCCAACACTGAGGAACACATTAATAAAAAATACTCTCAAATCCAAACCATGAAACTGAACGTTATTTATCTCTTTTTTAACAGAATTCACAACATGTTGTGACTGAATTCACAACATTATGTGCCAGTGTTTCTAGAGACGTTTTAACCGGGGACCTTCAAAATGTTTTCCAACTTTGAGAGCACACACACGCAAAACACATCGCATAACTCTTGCAGTACACCGCACTCCATCCACCAAACAGTTTTAGCTATCGTGTTGACATCAGGGAGGTTACCCGATGATGGAAGCCTAAAACTTCTGGTGAGTGTGGTGTGCCGGAGAAAAGTTGTGCGAAATGTTTCGGCCTCCAAAATGATTTTTTTGTCTTGATTGGCTTTGTAACTGCAGTACCAAACCATTAACTCCACCTTCACAGAGAACCGTCAGTTAAGAAATGCTCAGTGGTAGAAATATTATTGCACTGTAATTCAAAGCCTTGAAAAGGGATGTTTTTCTGATTCTCCTCATGTAAAAGCCTATAGACACAATAACACCTATACAATCTAAGGTAATGCAGTATAACAGCCTGGACACAAACATGACCTTTTTAAACTTGTACATTTCAGCTTGTTGTTAACACAGTCAGGGAGGCGTGGCCTCAACACTATAGTAGCCTGTGAGGCTATTGTTTGTGGTATTATTGTAGTGGAGGTGTTGTTGTGTCTACTCAGTGCAAATCTGGTTTGTTTTTTTAGTTTTTTTAATTCTTTTCTCGTAGTAGAGTTGGAAACCTGTTTTTAAACCTGTAAATTAACCAAAAAAACAGTTTTCTATATGCCTCATCTATTCTTAAATTAAATGTAGTCAACAAGTGCTCCTCATATTTTAATATGTTCTGACTGAATTACTGCAGGTTTTTGACTGTGAGCAATTAAAAATTATTTCAAATACACACATCCTTTTAGTTTAGTAGGAGGGCAGGGTTTGCTATTTTAGTGGATTACATGGTAACATACAAACACTCAAGAACCATACTAGTGTACCCCATAATGCAGAACACACAGCATGCAATAGTTACTGACATACAGCAGATTTCTTTTTTTTTTCTTTTTTTTCTTTTTACACCACTTGAACTTGTGTGTGTGTTCTGATTTTTTTTTTTTAAGATGCTCCACGAACCACAATCATGACCAGATAGTCCTCTTCACTTTTAGCCAGAGCTTTGGCAGAGGAATCCAGGAACTGCTGGGAGAAATCACAGGGAGGGAAAGCATGAAGAACCCCTGTGTTGTCTTTATCTCTGCTCCCTCCCACAGGTAGGCTGATGACTCCAGCTGCTTGTTTTTGGTTGAGGTAGGACACCAGGTTGCGAAGCGGCCGCTGAGTCGAGGCTGCAGGGTCAGACGAAGACGAATCCTCTGTGGTCCCAGGAACTGCCAGCAGGATGGCGTAGCCACCGGGACCCGCCACCTTGATGCGCCGGGACACTTCGTCAAGCTTGGGCTGGTCCAGACGGAGACGCTGGGTGATCTTTAGCTCGCTCACCTGCCGCCCTGATGTGCCCTCAACAAGCAGGTCGCTGGCTACATTGTGATCGCCCTCCAGCAGGTGCATGTTGGCCGGGAAGTTGCTGTTCTTGAGTAGCAGCATACCATGCCAGGCCAGACTGAGTTTTGTGCCGTCTGGTTTGGACGGCTGGCCTCCCTTGGAATTGTTCTCAGAACGTTCTCTTTTGGCCGGCCCTTTACCACCATCACCGGCTTTGCGCTTACGCTCTCCAACTGATGAAACACTGCTGCTTGGTGGTCCCTTGTCAGAGAGACTCTGGCTTTTGAGTCTCCGTTCAGCCACACTTTTTTCCAGGCTGCCGTGACGTTCTCGTGCCGGAGAGGGTCTCTCGGCCCGCGGAGGGCGCTCCGGGTCACTGAAGCGCCCTCCATCTCTGCTGCTACCTCCAGGACTGCCATCTGGAGAAGCACGTCTACGCCTTACTGTCCTCTCAGTGCTGTCAGGGGAGTGGTCTATATGGCGTCCGTCCTCCATTATACGCCGCTTGCGTGCAGGTTCTCGTCCCTGTAGCTCTCGTTCCAGCGACCAGGGCTCTCGTGCCCGCCGCTCACGTTCCAAGTGCTCCAGAGGCTCAAAGGGTGAAGCACGTACCCGATCACGAATAGCTGGATTGGGCCACTCAGTTCCAGGAAAGAGCTCTCTTTCCCTGAAATGAAGTGGCGGTGGAGTCCGTTCCCTGACCCTCAGAGGTTCAGGTGTGGCACGGTGGACAAATGACTCCGCCACCATGTCAAACGGTGGTATTGGGAGAGGCTGCAGGAACTGCTGCTGGTAACGATGCTCAGTGTCAGCAAAGTCCACTCTAAGTCTTCTCTCTGGACCTCCCAGGGGAAAGCCCCTCATGTGTGTGCACGCCGCTTGTGCAGCATCCAAACTTTCATACTGAATGTAGGCCCAAGTGTCCCCCTTTCTGTAGTCAATGGTCCTTATAGTGCCAAAGCGATCAAACTCTCTTGCTAGGGCAGCTACAGGAACCCAGGGTCCGAGTCCACCCACCCACAGGCGTGTGGTGGGAGTTGCTTTCCCATAACCTATCTTTATGGGGTTGTGGCCGACTATTTTGCCAGACATACTAAGTTTAGCACGGTGAGCCATGTCAAGATTCTCAAATTTCAGAAATCCATATGTGCTGGTTTGTCCTCGTGTGGGTCTTTTAATGTCCACTTCAGTTATGACCCCAAACCTGTCAAAAGCTCTCCTCAGGTCCGCCTCTGTAACAGTTATGTCCAGATTGCCTAAAAACAACGTCCTATTGGCTCTTTGGTCATCTTCTGGAGATATAAAGTCCTCCTCGCGAAAAGCTGCTCGCTCTGCAATGAAAGCGGGGCGTGCCCTGGCTTCAAACAGGGCAAACTCCCTCTCCCGCTCCAGCTCTCTGGGCAAAGGGGGCGGCGGGGGAGGGGGGAGCCGTCCCAAGGCCAGCTGCTGCAGCCGGTAGTCTCTGTATCCGAGCCCGGTGGGCGAGAGGGGTCTCTGCAAATGTCTGTGGCTTTGAGCTGCACCATACAAGTCCCTCTCCACGGGGGAGCGGCTTCTCCTCCTGTTTATGTACACGGCCTCGATTTTCAACGGACGATCGTAGAGCACCAACCGTCCCCTCGCGTGCTTAGCGGCTCTGGCGTCCTCCGGCTTCCTGAAATTCACGAACGCTATCCGCTCGTCGTTGCTACGGCTTATCTTAACGCTCACGTCTCCGAATTTCTTAAACTCGTGAAAGAGTCCGTCCTCTATGTCTTCGTCGCTCAGCTGGGTGCCGAGGTCGCTTATTTTGAGTGTTTTGTACTCACTCTCGGTGCTCGGCGGCTGCACCCGCTGCTCCGCCCGTGAAGCGGTCCTCGGTGAGGCTAAGTCCAGCGTGAGGCTCAGGCTGTGGTTCTTACCGATGGAGCTAGCGGCAGCAGACTGACAACTGTGGTTATTTCCAGTCCGACTGTGACCGTCAAAATCTCTGTCTCTTTTTTCACCGAGTAGACTCCTTCTCGTCGAGCCGCCGTCGCTTTTAGCCGAGCTATTTCCATTATTACTCCCACTGGAAACGGAGAGAGCCCCCATTTTCTTGCTGGTCGGGTGGCATCCTCCCCTGTCTCGTATGTCGTCCAAGGCCCGGGAGCGTTTTTTGATCGGCGACCGCTCTTTACCTTTCATTTCAGTCCACACGGAGCCGACCCTCGGGACACCTGGGCTTTGTATTGCTGTTTCTGCAACTGAGTGCAGAAAATTGTTGAAATGAAAAACGGATTTATTCACTGACCCTGCGGCAAAACAACAACAGCCGCCATTTTGTACAGATTAATGGGAAGGCCCGCCCCTGCGACCTGATTGGTTAAAAAGCAGGGTGGAAAACTTTTAAGCACATGTCAATCACCCACTGGGACGTTTAAATGTAAATATGTATTTATTCGTTTTCACTTTAGTAATCCTGCACCAATTAGCAATTTACTGCAAATTAACACAAAACACCAACACTATCTGTGGCCTGTTATAAATCAACACCTCTCTGACATTGTCTCAATACTAAGCATTATAAACACAACAAGGTAGCGTTTATTTAGGGATTTACAATTTATTGCAGGGCTATTTGAATATATGATTTCGTGAGCTGGCCCTGTTTTTTGTTCATCCCCAGTCAAAGTACCTAACTATTATTATGTAAAATGTGTCTCCATCGTTTTACATACGTGGACCTCATACCACAAGGTGGCAGTATTTGAACAGGAGCTCAAAGGGTACAGTAAGCACACAAGCTCATAAATTACTGTAAAATGACTTTGGATATACACATGGCCCTTCTGTGGGTATGTGGACAAATAAAAGCTGCTGATAAACAACTTGTAATGAATTTTCTCATATGTATACAGTTGCTATGCTCCAGTCATAACTGTATTGTCAGTTAATTGGGTATATTTTAGGTATTTTAATATGTTACACCTGAGCACCTGGTTACTTTTAGTTACATTACTTTCCTTTTTTGAGGTGAAAGCAAAACTAAGATAATCCTAGTATTTGGCCTTTTCTTGTCCTTTATTTGAGTTATTTACCATTTAGGAGTCAAAGGAATGTTTGAATCAAACACTTCTACAAACCACTTCTTGCACTTCTGGATAGGTGTACAACATGTTGTGCACACTCAACAATTAAATGCAAATAGTCAACTCAGTGTGGCAACTATTTTTTTTACCCTTCAAATGATGAACTGTTAAATTAAGTTCAATGTCTTGAAGCAGCTAAATACATTATGGTGTTGAACTCGCCTCACTCCGCTGTTTGACTGTGTTACAGAGAAGGCCGCAGTGTGCAACCACATTGTTTAGCTTAGTGGGACATGTTAATGCTGTCCGACTGCTTCAAATACAAGGATCTGTTGTGTCACAATAGCTGCACTTCAAGGCCAAAATAAATCTTGTTAAGATCAAAGCTCAGAGCAGTGGCCAGCAGGCAGCTGTATAGGTTTTAATGAGCATTAAATCAGATTTTTTTTGTCCATTAATGCGACTAAGGGTATAGTAATTTTCAAACTCAACTGACAGTCTTCACCCGATGACCTTACACACAAAGTGATGCTTATTTTTATTGCCCCCAGAATTGTGCAGTCTTAACTCAACATTTTTCATTTCATTTCTGACAAATCATATGAGGCCTTTTCAGCTTGATATATTGAGCCAATACAGATCAAAGCGGCTGCCATACCACTGTAACTGAAATGACAACTTAATCAAAACTTATGGTTGCCTATTGTAAGATGAGGTAATTCGGTTTTGTCCTGTTTTTAAGTGGACTAAACCATACTGCATTTATATTATTGTTATCTATTCTTTTATTCCTGACAGCGTTCAAGAGTTAACATATCAGATTCAGTAAGCCACTGAGTTTCCTCTTTTGTTTCAGCAGATTTATTTAACCTGCTCCCTATCTAAAAAATAAATACTAAAAATGAGCGCTGATCCACCATCTGCTATTTCTTCAGCTTTCCTAAAGATGGCCATCTCCTCAATCCCTTATCCCTACTGACAGGTCTCCTTATCTTCTCCACTTAATCTGGGATTTAATCAGAGGACTATGTAACTGCAGTAAAGGCTGCCATCTCCCAGGGCCTGGCTGGAATTTGAAGCTGTGGGTGTGGAAAGTGTTTCTGATGAGTTTGTGCATTCTTCTATTGGAACCACATGTTAGTGGCTCACACGAAACCCCGGCACAGACTCAGGGAATGGCAGATGATCCGCCCCAGCATGGCTGTCATGTGAAGCAAGCAAAGGGAAAGCAGAGCCAGTATATTGTCCCGTAAGCCATGTACATTTCTGGGGAGTAAGTGGAGCTTGGAAATGGCTTTGTCCGCCAGAGGAACTTTCTTTTTTCTCAATTCAAGTTGCCGTCTCAATCTCTCACAGATTTAAATGTTTGCACATCTGACATTAATATGTTGGTATTTAGTAATTTACACCAGATGGGATGGTACCGTGCAATTCAGTGTTTCCTTGACAATAAAGTACATTGTTTGGGGAAAAGCACAACAAGGAAATTTCCTGAAAACTATTAAGAATGCATTCAGAATACATGACTAAGCACGCCACAGATTTATAATGATCATATTCTTGTTTAAAAAACAACATATGGATACATAAGTATTTATAAATAAAAGTAGAAGTACTGGCTTCAGTGGTTGATATTACCAAACAATACACGCTCTGGACCATGGTGACCCCAATTTCTTCTATTAAACTGTAAGTCATTACTCAGTTGGTCGGGTTTACCACTGATGCCAGATGTGAATGAGAAATGGCTCAATGTGAAGCCATCCTCCTGAGGAAGGCTTACTTTATCATCAATAGTGGAGTGTGGTTGCTCAGTTAACTTTACATTAATGAACCTGCCACTCGCTCCTGATACATGAGGTGCCACCTGAGGGCCTCTTGAAGTGAGGCCAAGTATGCTGCACATGTACGGTCTCTCTGTGCACTTCCCAAATAAAAAAAAGCACACTTCCCGCACAGCAGAAGTCTTTGTGTTTATGGCAACCACAGACTGTGAAGCATTTTTTTCCCCACAACAACACTCCCAGTTAAATATGTGACACGGACTTTTGGTTCGTTTTTTAGGAGTCATGTCAAGCCTAAAATGATTCTGGCTGAGATTGTTTTTCTTCTGTTTTCTTAATCTTTTTTCCCCAAAATAGTTTCGTACTGAAAAAACAGTATTTAGATGGAGGCCTTTATTACTGGTCACACTATAAAGCACAACAGACACAAAAAAACAATGATTAAAATGATAATTACAATTTTTACATGCTTAAATAGTTTTTTGTCTTTGGTCTCAGCAATGTGATATCAAACTAAAACTGGAAACAACAAAGTTCCTATTAATACACTGGGTTTTCGTGCAAGAGGCTCAAGTTGCCCTCAATGTTCATGAAATTCATATTCCACGATCTTCTGAATTGTGGAAAGTCGCCAAGTTTACATAAATGTTAGGAGGAAATATTTGAGTCATATGCTGAGATGGATGTGTACATCGGGGACTGTTTATGGTTCAGGAATGTAATATGCTTTGGCTCAGTCAGTGCATAATGGGGTTTTGGCACTGTTGTGGTCATGTAGGCCAGGAGAGAATGCTGCCTGGCTCTTTGGCTTTCATACGCAGCGCCACAAGGCCCGACGGCTTGTAGTCAGTCTCGGGCCCCTCAATGGAAGGGGGCCCGAGGCCTCCTGGAAAGCTGTGGAGTGAATACAGGCCGTTGATGCCTGGATGGTGAGACGGGTGGTGGTGGTGGGGATGGCTGGTGGATGCAGGCATGCCCATGAAGCCCTGCAGATTGCTGTGGGGGTGAGGGTATGGACTCATGCAGGATGAGGGGATGGAGTCCGCTCCTAGGACACAGCCAGCACCTGAACCACCGCCTCCTCCTGAAGCTGCCCCGTGCCACAGGTTGCCCTGCATCTGACGGGGAGAGAGGAATGAACATGGAAACACTTCATACTTTGCTATGAACACCAAATCAAGATATCTGCAAAGGTCGGATTGAGCAGCAAAAACAAAATAAGTTCTCACAGCAGGATCGATAATGTATGTCATGTGAGATCTGCGGTGGCCTACCTGGTATGTATCATGGCGAGGGAGAAGAGAGATATCATATGTAGCCGCAAAGTGGTTGCGGACTTCCTGGATCTTTCCATAGCGTTCCCGTTTCCTCCACTTGGCTCTACGATTCTGGAACCAAACCTTTCAAATACAAAAATATTGTGGATCAGAAGACAACAGGTCTTGTTCAGGTCATAAACTCTCTTCTGCTTATAGTTATAAAACAAAAAGGTGTAATATATGAGTCAGTTGCCTGAAAACATACCTGAACCCGAGCCTCAGTGAGCTCCGTCCTCAGGGCCAGCTGCTCTCGGGCGTACACGTCAGGGTAGTGTGTCTTCTGAAACACTTTCTCCAGCTCCTCCAGCTGAAACGTGCTGAAGGTGGTACGATTGCGCCGTTTCTTGTTCTTGCCCGATAGGTCGATGGAGTCGGCGATAGAGCCTCCATGCAAACCAGCACCTGGCTCTTTCAGCTTGCCACAACAGTCTGTGCCAATGCCAGGATAGCCCATGGTCTTTGGAGCGCCTTTCTCTCTGACTGAGACATAAGGGCACACAGAAAAAAGGTAGAAAGTTTTATATATTCCAAAATGTATGTATATGTAAACTTCTATATTATCAGTTCATCAAAATTGATTCATTGTCTCATGGTTTTAGATTGCTGTTCGGTTGTCTTTACGGTACCACGTATTTTTTAGGGTGCTGGTTTTACTTAAGATTTTGCAATCGTCAACTTCTGATTAAGATTCTAGCATTGTTTCAATCTGATCCTTCATCAAATACTTTGTGAAATAAGTTTTACCTTTTCCGGATTGTTGTTGCTTCCCATCTTGGCCGGGACCAAAATAATGTAATGACAATGATTGTGGTTTGATAAAGGTTCAATAAAATCTACATATATATATATATATATTGTTGAGGGTTTTGTAAGGTTGCAGAAAAACTGTGTGGGACCCTGAGAAACATCACAAACAAACCAGCGGGCTTCGACAGGCTAACACCGATAAGCATTTATACCTGTAGCTAACTTATCATCACTAATGAGGACGAGAAACGCACAACTTTTGTACAGAAAAGGCCAATGCTGGAAATCAAATCCCTTTGCATGTGAGCCACCAGTACAAACATCTGAATGATCAACCACTCCCATTTTCACTGCAAGTGAAAAAGTTTAATATTAAGACCAGCGGCATATAATTCTACACACTGTTACA